ATAAATAAATAAATAAATAAATAAATAAATAAATAAATAAATAAATAAAATTTAAAATCAATAAGTTGTATTGTAAACACACATATACACTTATTTTTTCTCTCTAGAGATCCAGTTGTCAATCATTTACCAACACGCCAGAGTGTAGACGGCACAGGCATGCTGGAGTCTGTAAGAGTCATGTTTAAACTCTGGTTTCTTTCCATCCTTACTTGTATGCTTTCAAACCAATCACTTCTTCCTTCAGATCTGTTTTCTATGTTGTTTTGTTGTTTTCTATGCATAAAAGTGTATTGCCTGCTTGTACATAAGCACACCACATGCATGCAAATCCTGAGGCAGTCAGAAGAAGGTGTTGGATCCTGTGGAACTGGAGCTATGATCCATTGTGAGCTGCCATGTGGGTGCCGGGAACCAAATCCAGGTCCTCTGAAAGAGCAATCAGTGCTCGGTAACCACTGAGACATCTCTCCAGTCCCCTGTCTTCTCTAACATGGGTGTCAGCTATCATAACTGTCAAAGGAGGTCTTTTGGATAGAGTTCACAACAGCAAGTGGACAGCCAGGACCACAGCATGCATCACCATCGCAGCGTTATGCTGGTCTGCAGGAGCTGCACCCTCCCTCTGCCTTCTCTGTCCCCTGGGACCCAACCTCAGTGTCAGCACACTTCCCGTCTGATGAGCTGCCCTATCATCATTTCTTAATATTCTGGGGTTTTTTTTAATGTTTATGAGCGTTTTACCTACACGTAAGTACACCATGTGAGTGCACCCATGTGCATGCAAATGCCTGCAGAAGCCAGGAGAGGATGTCAGATCCCCTGGAACTGGAGTTATGGACGGTTGTGAGCCACCATGTGGGTGCTGGGAATGGAACCTGGGTCCTCTGCAAGAGCAGCTACTGCTCTTAACTGCTGAGCCATCTCTCCAGCCCTCTAATTCTTTCTTGTTGGAGAACCATTTGACAACCTGTATTCTGAAATCTTTGGACCTGAAGTAGGGGGTAGGGAGCATCTACCACCTACAAATCCATTTCAGTCCTGATCAGCTTAGAAAAGGAAGATCCCTGAGTGTCTCCAGGGCAAAGGTTGGCAACTGGTTCAATTACATGCTTGTGTGTACCAAGCCCTGGGCTGGTACATTAGTCAGCTAGAGGCACTGTAACTCATTAACACAAACCAGGTGGCTTAAAACCACAGAAACATATTGTCTCAAAGTTCTAGAGGACAGAAGTTTCAAATCAAGGTTTCATCAGAGTTGGTTCCTTTTCGGAGCGTCTGTGGGGAAACCCTCAACTACACCCTTCTCCCAGCTTCTGGTGGCTGCAAGCGACCCCTAGGCACCACAGGCTGAATTGGTTTGCCATAGCTGCTCCTGTGTTCAAGTCCTAACCAGCCTCCTTGGACACTGGGTGATTGCAGAGGCAATTATTTAAGTTAGGATGAGGTCATAGCAGCGGAGGGCAGAGCTGTGATCCAGCATGACTGGAATCCTTGAAAAGGGGAAATCTGGACACAGACATACACAGGACAAACAGCATGTGTCAGAAAAGGCAGAGAGGCAAACCAGGGAGCATCAAAGAATGTCAACACCTCACCGGCACTGAGTGACCGGCCTGGAGTAGGTCCTCTCTCACAGGCTCTGGAAGAACCGCCCCACTAACACCGTCTACTTCTAGCTCCCAATGCACCGGCCAATTTCTGTCGGTTCACCACCCTCCGTTACTACGGACGCCGTAGCAAACAAATATGCTTGGCTCATAGATGCGTCACTCCACACTCTGCCTGTCTGTCTTCCCGTCACTTTCCCATCTGTGTCTGGAGGGCATCTGCCGTTGCACGGGGCGGGGGGGGGGGCACCCTATGCTCAGGATGAGCTCACCCCAGAGTCCTCAGCTTTATGACATTTGCAAGCAACACCAGCGATCACAGATTCTGGGATGAAACTTGGAACTGTCTTTGGGTCAGCTGGCACACTACATGTAGAGACATGCACCATCCTCTGATGTAACCAGCTACAGGTGTTAGGAGGGAAACTTAGGCGCTGAGAGGATGTCACTATTTCCAAATTCAGGGTTGGAGGTAGTGTTCTATTTTGATCTCAGAGAAAGAAGGAAAGAAAGAAGAGGGAGAGAGGGGGGAGGGGGAGAGGGAGGGAGGGGAGGGGAGGGGATTTAAAAAAAATAAAACCAATGTATTTTGATAACATTCACCCAAACTCCTTCCCTTAACCCCTCCCATATCCATCCCTACATCCCTTCCCCCAACTTCGTTCCCTTTTTTTTTTTTTTTTTTTTGTCTTTTTGAGACAGGGTCTCCCCTGTAGCCCCAGCTGGCCTGGAACTCACTATGTAGACCAGGCTGGCCTTGAACTCACAGAGATCTGCCTGCCTCTGCCTCCCGAGTGCTGGGATTAAAGGCATGCAACACCATGCCCAGCTCTTTCATTTATTTATTTGTTTTTAATTTAATAACCCATCAACTCCAGTTTCTGACCCCATACATCTGAGTGTGGTCCATCTACCAGGAGCCACACCCTTCAAGAAAACTGACTCTCCCTCCTTCAGAAGCCATCAGCACTCCATAGCTCCTCAATTGGGGTGAGGGTCTCATGAACTCCTTCCCACACAGCACTGGCATGTTTGCTGATTTGGTCATGTGTGGGACTTGTGCACAACCACAACTGCAGTGCACTCATGGAGAAAGGAGCCCTGTCAAGTCCAGAAGACACTGGTTTGCTCAAATCCTCCCCAACCTCTGGCTCTTACAATCTTTCCGACCCCTTTACCAGGATGGTCCCTGAGCACTGGGAAGTGGGTGTGATATAACGTGATGTAAAGGTCGCACTGGTGGCAGAGAACTCCACAGTCACTCTCTCACTCTGACCCTCCACAGGTTTGATCTTTGCATTTCAGAAATAAGAGGAGAGTAGACAAATTAGCAGCGGGGGAAGGCAAGCAAGTCAAGTTTGTTACAAGCATACACAAGGCTTCATCACAAGAATGAAATGTGAGTCCTCAGTAACCCATGGAACCTAGAATCTTCTATGGCCTTCTCAATAGAGTAAAAGGAGAGAGGGCTGTAGGCCATTTAGAGGAAGAGAAAATTACTTTTAGGGGACTTAAATGGCCCTGAAGAATAGACTGTGTCAAGGGAGAATGCTCATCTGATCTTAGCAGTGATGTTTGACCCTCCGTTTTTGCTTCTGTGATGGGAATTTAATTTCCTCACTGGAATTAACAGAAAGAGGTGGCACACAACTGTGCTTCCTCCCAGTAGACTCCTGTCATTGAAGCAGATGAAAGCCCTTGTCTGTGCTAAGTGCTCTCCAGTGCTGAGATCCAAAGTGGCAGTTTGGGGGTTTATTAATCCCCAGCAATTGACAGGGAACCATGGCAGCACATTTCCAGTTCTCTGTCTCACCGAGAATGACATCATTGTGGTTTTGGAACACTGCCCTCTGGATAACGGAAGCATTAGCCACAAGAGTGGCCTCCGGACCTCTGACCTAGGATCCTCCGCTGGGACTCTCTCCTGTGCCTCTCTACCAACCTGCTGTCTAGGGTACATATGTCTGGCTGTTCACCAAATGGCTCTAAGCTTCCCACTAGTAGCCCAGGATAGGAGGGCCTCTTCACTCCACCCTGGAACAAAAAGAAAGTTCAGTCCATGAACTAACACTGTCCGCATATGACGGCAACACGGAGATGGGTTCTTGTGGTCTAAAATGGCTAAGGAGAGTCACGGTGTGGATGGTGGCAAGCTGGTAATGGTCAAAAGTAGGTAAGGAGGAGAGTTGGGATATGGTGGTAGCTTGCCTGTGGAACCCAAAGGGACTGCAGAACACAAGCCCCTTCCATCGTCAACCTGGCTGACTCTTCAAGTGAGAGCAGAGGTAATCAAGGCAGGCAAAGCATTTGTCTGAGTCTGTTGGGCTGCCCCTTGGTGGCTGCTGGTTCAGCAATGGTATTAAAGTTGGACTTTGAAATGCCCCCCCACAGGCTCACATTTTTAATACTTATTTCCCATCTGATAGTGTGTTATTCTGGGAGACTGTGGAACCTTTAGGAAGTGGAGCCTTGGGATAGGATTGATTGTCCAATTATAGATTCTGGCATTACCTAGAGTCCAGGCTCACCTGGGAGGAATTCTTTAGGTTAGCCTCTGGGCATGACTATAGGGACTATATTGATTAGGTTAACTGAGGTAGTAAGAACTGTCCTCTGTGGGTGGCACCATCCATAGGCTGAGGTCTCAAATGGAGTTCAGAAGACAGCGAACTGAGCACCAGTATTCATCTCTCTGCTTCGCAGCTGTATATGCAATGTGACCAGCTCTCTCACACTCATGTTGCCATGACTTTTCCAGCGTGAGTGACTGTTCCTTCAAACTGTGAGCCAAAACAAAAACTCCCTTCCTTAAATTCACTGTGTCTGGGTATTTTATCACAGCAACAACAAAAAAAGTAACTCATGAAGGCCTAACTTTTGAAGGCTATACCGTAAGGGACTAAATCCCTAATAAGCAAACAGGGTCAATGAAAAATAATTAAGATGCCACACTTCCTGTTTCTTCTTGGTCTGGCAGGAAGACCATTTTAACACCAACAGGGTCCCTTCAACTGCCCTGCTTGGAGCCACGTAGCCCTGGATATCTCAGCTTGGAGATGTGACCTATCAGCCTTCCTTCTTTTAAGTCGATCGATCCAAAATTAGGGAAGGAGAAAACACTGCAATCCTTGAAACTCAGACTCTCCCAACATAGCATTAGATTCTGGGTCCCCTCTTTACTTGAGGAGAATATCATCTTTCTGTATGTACATACATACATATGTATGTATGTGTGTATGTATGTGTGATTTATGTGTATGGATGTGATTCTTTATCTTTTAATAAGTTTGTTTGTTGGTTACTCTCTGCTGATCTGAGATTTTTTTTTCCTGCCTTTTAACTCCTTAATTGACTAGAGGAATGAACCAACCTTACCCCTGAACTGGTAATGTGCCAATACATATTCTTTCTCTCTCTCTCTCTCTCTCTCTCTCTCTCTCTCTCTCTCTCCCTGCCCCCTCCCCTCTCCCCTCTCCCCTCTCCCCTCTTGCATAGGACTGTCATCCAACAGACAGACATGGACAGACACCATCTTCCAAGGTTGGATGCCCCTACTTACCTAGAACCATCACAGCTAAGCTTGTTGACTGTTACACTCATAAAGAAAGGAGGGGCAGGGAGGGTCATCCACACCTCCCAACCAACCAGCTCTAGTTTCACAAAGAGAAGGGCCTAAGGGTATATAAACTGAGGAAGTGGAGGGGAGGCTCTCTCACCATTTTGTGGCTTTGGGGACGTCACCATCTACTCTTGGATGGAGACTTTCCAGTGCAGCATCCCATGGGGAGCACCCACACTCCAATGAGTAAACCCTCACCCACTGCTCTGTAAGTAAGCCCAATAAACTCGCTGGCTTCCCAGACTGCAGTTTGGCAAGATCAGACCTCAGTTTTGTCCTTGGGACCAAGGGAGGGACAGGGGGCTGCTTACATACCTCCCAAAATGAATTTTACCTATCCTTCTCTCTCCATCCAGGCCTGTCATGTTACAGACTCTGCCACATGGCGACATGAATTGAGCTTCCCCGGCATGCTTTCATTCCTCACCATAAGCCAAAGTACATCGATCCTCTCTTAAGTTGCTTCTGACCGGTACTGTTGTCATAGCAGCATAAACATAACTTGACGAATGGGTGACCTCACCTCATAGCCACTGTGTCAGGAAGATTCTTTCATGATCTTAAGGGCTGCCCTGTGAGGGCTGACTTGAGACCATCCCCTTTTACAAATGAGCAAAGAACAGTCCAGTAATTATGACATGATCAGGGCTTGTGCCTCTGACATTCATTGTGGAATTCTAATCAACATGGTGACGCTACATCATAGCATGGAGCCCTTGTTATGAGGTTGTCTCACCAGAGAAGACCTCTCAGACACAGAAAATTGCCAAAAGGAAGTCTTTCTAGCCAGACGGCGACTACACTGGGTATTCAGGTCCCAAGTGCAGCCCTGAGCTGTTCCTAGGGTGTTTATACAGAAAAGCCATGTCCAGGGGTGAAAAGTTTAAGTTCCCAAGCTTAGGGGTGGAAAGCCACCCTAACAATTTCTATTCTGCAAGAGCAAGCCAAGCATAAAGCACAGAAGTCCTAAATCTGCTGTTTGCAGGAGCAGCCAGGTGCTCGCCCACCTGTTCTCAAACCCACACCTTGGTGCAGCTGGTCAAACTTTTCCATTCCTACATTTGAGTTAACTGCCTCTAGCCTTAACTACTGAGTTTAGCTGGAGTTTGCTTGTAACATGGCATAGGTTGGCATAGGTATACTCAGTCTTGAGGTGCCCCACCGTGCCCTCATGACAAGGACTGATGCCTCGCCTGGTCTCATTTCCATTGCTGTGACAAGTCCCGTGACCAAAAGGAACTCTGGGGGAAAAAAGGTTAATTTGCCTCATAACTGCAGGCCATGGTTCATCATTGAGGTGAGTCAAGACAAGAACACGAAGACCGATCTTACCATTCCACACAGCAGTCTTCTGACCAAGGAACTCATTCCACAGCCAGGGAAATGTGTCGGAATCATGGAGGATGCTGCTGACTGGCTGGCAGCCAGGTTCAAGCTCAGCTAGTGCTCTTATACCTCTCAGGACTACCTGCCTAGGGTTAGCACCACCCACAGCAGGCTGGGTCCTCCTACATCAATTAGAAAATGCCCCTCAGACAGGTCCACCAGTCAATCTGATCTAGACAACTCCTCAATTAAGTCTTTTCCCAGATAATTATAGGTTGTGTCAAGTTGATCATTAAAGTTAACTGGGGCAGGAGCTGAGAGATGGCTCGGTGGTTAAGAGCATTGGCTACTCTTGCAGAGGACCCAGATCCAGTTCCCAGCACCCACAACCACCAGTAACTCCAGTTCCAGGGGATCCAATGCCCTCTTCTGGCCTCTGAGGGCATTGCGTTCAGGAAATGAACTTACATACATAATAAATCCAAAAAAAATATTTGAGGGGCTAGAGAGATGGCTCAGCGGTTAAGAGTACTGGCTACTCTTGCAGAGGACCTGGCTTTGGTTCCCAACCCCCACATGGTGGCGAACAACCATCTGTAACTCCAGTTCCCGGGGATCTCATGCCCTCTTCTGGCCTCCATGGACATTACACAACACAGTTGCACATATATAGATACAGTCAAAAGACTCATACACATTAAAATAAATAATTTTCTAAAAGCTAACCAAGACAGTGCCCTTATGAAAGAACTTCTTGGAAGACCTTGTCTTAACGTGTTTGCTATTGTTGTAACACCTAAAACAATGCAACTTATAAAGAATAAAAGTTTGAAGCAGGTTGTGCTGGCACACGCCTTTGATCCTCACACTCAGGAGGCAGAGGCCCGCAGATCTCTGTGAGACAGAGGCCAGCCTGGTGTGTGTAGTGAGTTCCAGGTCAGCTGGAGCTACAGGGAGACCCATCTCAAAAAAAAAAAAAAAAAAAAAAGAAGTTTGGGGCTGGAGAGATGGCTCAGCGGTTAAAAGCACTGGCTGCTCTTCCAGAGGACCCAGGTTGTATTCCCAGCACCCACGTGGCAGGTAACAACTATGCATAATTCCAGTTCCAGGGGATCTGACACCCTCTTCTGACCTCCCGGAGCATTTCATGACATGCGGGTACCTACATATATGCAGGTGATATACTCATAGACATTTATAAAAGGAATGGATGTTCATTTGAACTTATATTCAAATGGTTCTGGAGACTGGGGGAAACCTGAGAGGAAGAGGCTGAGATCTCAGAACATGGTAAAGGCCTCATGGGGTTTCAACTCATGTAAGAAATTTAAAGGAGCAACTGGGTGCATGTGAGAGAACACAGAGTAGACTCACCTTTTCAACAACCCACTCTTGAGGTTAATAACACATTCCTGCGTCACCAGTGGCAGGAGGAAGAGGAGGAAAAGCACAGTCCAACATCAAGGGAAGCCAAGGCAGGAACCCAGGGCAGGAACCTGGAGCACAGACCATGAAGGAGGTCCATGCAAGAAAAAGCACTGTATGAATATTTCCTGCCTTTTCTCACCACTGTGACCAGTCACCTGACAGAAATAACAAGCTGGAAGAGGGATTCATTTTTCCTCACAGTTTCATCGTCTTCAGTCCAAGGTCGCTGAAGTCCGAGGTTGCTTCAGTCCCCTGTCCTTGAGCAGGACACGATGGTGAGAGAAGTATGTGGCTGACAGGGGTTTCCTCTAGTAGAGGACAGAAAGTAGAGGCTGAAGAAGGAACTGGGGACCAGGTATAATCTTTTGTTGGTAAACCAATCAGCCTATGGTGCTTTATCATAGTACCTACAATGGACTAGAATGATAAGAAGTACACTTTGTCTCGCTTGACAACCTCCCAAAACAATATCTACTAAAAGGTCCTTCTGGGAGGTGGGTGTGGCTTCTGGGCCCCTCTTCTCACTGTCCTTATGACAAACCGAGGTAATATTCCTCCAAATACAGTTTGGGGTACCAAAGAATTTACTGGGCTTCCACACAGATCAATGGATGAGGGGGTTCCTTACAAGGTGTGGGCATGCGTGGGCTTCCTTCTTACACTGTGATCGGAACCCCTGTGACCTCTGGGTGGTGGGCCAAGATGGCGAAGGCTACCCCCTCTCTCTGGCTTCCTCTGTCCCTATCCTTAGTCCCTCCCCTGTGCACTATTCAGGCCAGCTGGTTGGATGGAAGGCACAACTCTCTGTGCCCCTCCCCTCATATGGAGCATCCATAGTCAAGTTTGTGGTGATCCAGCCAGCAGGTGAATCCCAGCTGGAGGAGAAGGGGTCTGTCCACTGCTTGCCAGTCTAGCTTGCCAGGCAGAGGCAAGTCTATACAACACAGCATCACCATCTGGGATCAAACACTCAGAACATGAGCCTGTGGGGACCGTTCACCTTCAAACCGTAACCTGAATGGTGAAAGGATTGGGGTTTTCAGCACATTCTCCCATCATCAGAGAAGAGAGGACAGAGACTCCAGAGAAGAGAGGACAGAGACTCCAGAGAAGAGAAGAGAGAGACTCCAGAGAAGAGAGGACAGAGACTGTACCAGTGACCAGCCATACTCAGGTACAGACACCTATAAAACTTCCCTGTGTGAGTGAACAATTCTTCTCCCACAGGACTTAAGTTAGTAAATAAAATCCCCATGACAGCATGGGATACTTCCCTACAAGTTACTGGTCAGGGAGGCCCCAGGGGTCCCCAACAGGCTACTGCCACTGCCTTTAACTAGCTGATAAGAACCTCTTGCCATAGACACCACACACTTTGGTTGCAAGACAGAGAAATCCAGCTAGAACTTACTTAAAAACTTTCTCCCTACTGACTGGCTTTCATGGTGCCAGAAAGATGCTAGGCAGGTTGTTGGGGAAGAAAACTCATCACAACAGTGGATGCTGCATGCTACAAAACCAACCTTCCAGGAAAGATGTACCCAATGGTTCAATGACTGTTATAACTATTACAGGGCAACCAGCTATTTTCTGATTTTATTTGAGGTCTGCTCCACAGAAGGGAGTTTAGACCTGGTACTATAAGCCTCATCAAAAGCCCATGGCTCATGAGGTCATAGGCCCTAGAGAGGACCCTACTACTGATGTCTTGCAAATGGACATGCTATCCAACTGTCTTCTAAATATTTATTTAATACCCAGAGATTAGCTCTCAATCTTGTTCATAGAAACTTCTTTGTGCAGTGGTTCATGCAGAGACTTAAAAGTGATCTAAGTGCTGAGATAAGTGACTGCTGAATGCTGGCTTCAGGACTGTCCTCTGAGTCACACAGATGCTCTCTGCAGGAGGTCAGCTGTGACCACTTACATTACAGATGAGTTTGTTGACTGTTGAGACCCCCTCACTGAAGCAGAGTCACTGGGCCTTCACCTGAGCATCCGGTCACACATCCCAACCAGTTATAGGCAATTTGGTGCTACTTGCACATAGCCTTGGGGAAGGACTGGAGTATATAGTATACTCCAGTATACAAGACAGGGGGCTCCATCAATACAGCTATGAGGAAGCCATTAGCCATGCTTGGTGAAGACTCCAGTGCAGAATGCCTTAGGGGGGAAGCACCCACACTCCTGTAAGCAACCCCTCACCCGTGGTCTGTAAGTCAGCCCAATAAACTCACTGGGCCCCCATGGTGAACTTTGGTGGAATCCTACCTCAGCTTATTGTTGAGACCTTGGGAGGACTTCTAGGCACAAGTGCTCAGTTCTGAATGGGACATGGTTGGGTAGGCGTGTCCTCCGAGACAGTCACTCCTCCCACCCAATCAATCAGCTTCAATTGCATGAGTGGGCGGGTCTAAGGCTAGACACCCCGAAGCCCTGAGAAAGTCCGGAAGCTGGAAAAGTGAACCTCCGCTGCAGACAGCTGGTGGGCTGCTGGCTGGAGGCAGATCTCACAGCTTAGCCTAGATGTAAAAACAGGGCCCACGGCCGATCATGCCTTTGTAAGTAACCCTTTCCCAGATGTCATAAACTAGACAAAAATCCAAGAAGAATGTATTGTGTCTGTTTTGCCTGTTGGGCATAGGGACCACGTGGCCTTGGGATCCCAGAGAGAGCGAGTGAAGGTTTGGGGGGCGGGGTGCAACAGGTATCTATATCAAAGCCATCCCCCAAGACTCAGGAAACACAGAACAGGGGAGGGAACTACTGTCAGCAATGAAGGATGGACAGGAGCATTGGAAAAGCCGTCTTTTGGGTATGACATGGTTACTGCATCCCTGAACATATAGCAACTACAGCTACCTGCACAAGGTCAAACCAGTCACAACTCAAGGGGCTCATGAGGCCCCACCCCTAGCTGAGGACCTACTGCCTGCCGATGGCGGCTGGAGGAGGTGGAGCATTTTTTCTTTGATGGCATGGCACTGGCGGCTTGCCCATGCTCCAGGAACCGGTCCTACACTCATGCATATATGTCAACACTAATTAGAGTCAACAGGTTATTTTTTTAAAGCAGAAGAGGCTGCAGAGATAGCTCCGAAGTTAAGGGCACTGGCTGCCTTGGCCGAGGACACAGGTTTGGTTCCCAGCATCCACTTGGTGGCTAACAACCACCAGTAATTCTAGGGGATCAGAAACCAAGTTCTGGCCTCTGTGGGCAATGCACAGCACAGGGGGACTTACATACAGGCAAAACACACATACACAGGAAATAAAAATGAATTTTTTTAAAAAAGACATGAGTATGGCACGGGAATATGTTGGGAGGTTTGGAGGGAATGGGTGACGGTTTGGAGAGGATTGTACATTGTATAAAATTGTCAAAAAATAAATAAAACTTTTTCTTAAACCCCTTCCCCCTCCAAAAAAAAGAGGAAGAAATAAAAAGATCCGGAAAAATAGCTCAGCAGTAAAAGGGCTGGCTGCTCTTCCAGAGGACCCATGTGCAGTTCCCAGCACCCACATGGCATTTCACAACCATCTGTAACTGAAGTTCCAGGAGATCCTACGCCCTCTCCTGGCTTCTTCTGGCATTGCACAACACTGGTGTACTTACATCTAAGCAGGCAATACACTCATACACATAAAATAAATATATATATACATATATATGTATATATATTTAAAACTGCTCTGTAAAACCCTCAGGGAAAGACTGAGAGAGCTTCCAGGTTGGAATGCAGCCTCATTCTTGGAGAGAGAGGCACAGCCAAGATCCCAAGGACAGAGGCCTCGGCAGCTGGAGTCTTTCCAGATCAGCACTGTGACCTCTGGATCAGCCTATTAAAAGTCCTTTATAATAAACTGTGAAACTTCATTATTCCCCTGAGTTCTATGAGCTGTTGCTGCAGAATACTGAACAGGAAAGCAGGAGGTGTGGAGGCCCCTGGACTGCGGCTGGGTCAGACAGCAGTGTGGATGGCCTGGTGACACCTGCTGCCATTGGGGCTGGGCTGTGGGACGGAGACTCCGGAATCCGCAGTGACCTGGTGTCGTGCTAAAACCAAAAGTCAGACAATCAGAGTCTCTGCGCAGAGTTGCAGAACTGAGGGTTGGTAAGGGACCAAACACACATTTGGTGTCTGCGTTCGGGGTTAAGGCGAGCTGCGCCATGTTCTCCGTCCCACACAGACCCTGGTTTTTATACAGGTATGTTTGTGTGGATGCGTGTGGTGGAGACCATGAATCAAGAAAGAGGACGGTGTTGGGGGGAAGGTTTAAAGTAAGGTGGACGGAAGGAAATGGTGGGACATGGAAGGACGGGAGGGGGGGAATGCTGGGGT